GATGGAGAGCGAGGGAGAAATTCGAGACACGTAAAAGCAAAAGGGAACAGCGGGGGCGCAGAAGGCAAGGCTAAAAAGAGGCATGAAGGAGAAGGAGCACCTGCGGGCGGCAACACCCACGCGGAGAGAGGTGACGAAGAGCAGAGCAGCAGCAAGGACCCTGGGGTGGTGGAATGCAGCTGTAACTTGGCCACTGGGGGACAGGAAGCAACACAGAGGTGACTCCACTCCCTTGCAGATTAGAGTCTAAGGAGCTAGTGTGAGATTATCACAAGGAAATTCGAGAGACTCCGTTTACAGTTGTGTCTGGGGACCTTGGCAGATGTCAGGAAGGAACAAGAGGGATGGGCTCAGCCAGTGGCCGGGCACCCGATGCGGCGACTGAGACGTGGGAGGAGGAGAGTGCGGAGAAAGCGAGCTCGCAGCGATGGTGCCAGCCCTGGGACACAGAAGCAGACAGAATGCCTAGAACTCGAGGGCGCGACACCACCAGGTTCTAACGCTCGAGAGAGGTGATCAAGCCAGTTTCAGCTCTCGCCCCAGGGTGGCGCGAGCGGCTCCGTTCTTGGCGGGAAAGCCAGGGGCACCAATGCCACTGGCCGCCAGGAAAAGGAGGCACTGAACTTCGAGACGAGGGGTTCAGAGACGGCGCTATGAGCGGGTGGGTGTGGGCGGGCATAGCTGCGTGAGACAAGCTCCAAGGCACCCTTCCTGGGGAGGAAGGGGGCCAGCGTGGAGGTGTGGGACTTGCCCTGAAGGTAGATGAGCCAGTAAACGACCACAATTCGGTACATCTCTCGAGAAACTCAGCCGAGTGCGCCCAGGAAGCCACCATACTGCTTTTATCAGCTTCTGGCTCTGGGAGACAGCGCGACGAGCGTAGGTAACCATGTAATATCAAGACTAGGAGGGCAAAGGAGAAACGGAGGGCCAATGCGGGGAGATGACCGCGCGCCATGGGCACACCTTGCGCGCCTCTCGAGGTGCGCTGGGCGGAGCGACTCTTCGCGCGGTCACGTCCACCTTGAGGCCCATCCAGGGGCTGACTTTCTCTAGCTGCGCCGTTATAGCCGGCGATCCCTTGAGCTGGGAGGAGGCTGGACCAAAAGAGCGAGGCGCCCCCCGCTGTGCCAAGGCTAGCTGCAGAGGCGAAAGCGAGGTATCAATACATGTCGGCATACCAAAACACTTGCCGCGTGCTGCTGAGGCCGCGTTGCCCTCAGGGGTGTGCTGGTAAAGCAGCGCTAGCCATGCAAACCCAAGAGCACAAAACGCGCCTACCCCAGCCAAAGCCGCTCCAGTTCGAAGGGCTGGCAGGGGGGAGGTGTATAGGCCATCAGCAGCCCCATAGAAGAGCAAACCAGGGATGTGGAGGATACAGCGGGGGCCACAGCATCCAGCGGGTACTGGTAGCACATCTAACAGGGCGAGGGCTCTGTAGAGCGCCAAGCTAATGTGAGGCAACGATGTGCCAAGCACGCCCCCTCAAGCTGGCTTTGCCGCTGAGTGAGAGGGAATAAGAGCTGGATGCGCAGAGGGGGATGTGAGGCAAAAGCGGCGAACGGCGAAGTCGGACGACAATGAGGCGACAAACGGCCATGGACAAGCGAGCAGGCACGGAGGAAGAGAAAGAAGGAGTGGAACAGAAAAAGGAGGAGACGAGTCATCGTGCGAGGCACCTGCATAAGCTGGTCCCCAGGTGGAGGACTACAGGGGTGGGCATACACACACAGACGCAGGGCGGCGGAAGAGAAACACGCGGGGAAAAGTCGAGTCGAGCAGGCAGCAAAGGAAAAGATCAAGAAGAGCGAACGTAGCAACAGAAGCAAGGCTGATACGAGAGGAGGGCCGGATGAGGAGAAGAAAACACGGCGCAAACTGGGGGGCTAGGGAAATGTCTAACTGGAAGGGGGCGGGGGAAGGAAATAAGGTGTAAAAAAGAGGCACCACCCACCGGGAGGAAGCCCTGCGAGAACGACGGACAGGAGGTAGGCAGGAGGGCCACAAAGAAAACAGGCACAGGCGGTGAAGGGAGAGGCGAAAGGAAGGGGGAGCCGGCGAAAAGGCAACGGCCCGGGCTGCTGGGGACCTTTTGCGGGTCTGACTCCTTTTTCCTGCAGGCGAGAGAAAGTCCACCTGCCTAGGATAGGAGACGGGCGGGCCGACCGGAAAACGCTGAGGGGAACCCGGCTTCTCCACTGAGGGCGGAGCGCGGGGGGCTGGGTGGTGAGGCGCAATCAAGGCAGGAAGTATTCCACACAAGGCGTTCGCGATAGGCTCGCGTGAAGTGTGCGATCGCTGGGTTTTCTTTCCGTGGAACGTCTGAAAACAACGGCGCTATGTCTGGCCTAACTGACGCCTTGGCTTCGGAGTGACGTCAACAATGCTAGCCTGCGCTGCTGCGATAAGGCCCTTTAGTGTATTCTCATCAAGAAAAAATTCCGTAGTCGGGTCAGGAGGGTCATTACCTTTGCGATGATACACGTGTTGTAGTAGAACGCGGGAGCAAGACCTGCCGCCATATGCTGAAGGGGCCTGTCTAGCCACGCGGCGGTCGGCTTCACGGAGATGTAGAGTTGGAGATGGCTTCACTCAGTAGAGGGATGCGATTGTGGGTTGAGAGGAAAGACAACAAAACTGGCATGCGAAGTGCGTGTTGCTGCGAGGTCCGCGGGAAGGAATATAGGGCAAGATGAAAACACGAAGCGCGGCTCAGAGGGGTCTGCTAGCTTAACAGTTTCGCTTTGTGTATTCAATGTGTAATTACTCTACTAATATTCGAAATTAGTTTTGCCTCTTTCGGTAAAGAGGTGAGAGAGGGACAGTCTGGTCACCTCGTGTATGCCGCCCAGCTAGAGTGTTGTGGCCATCAGCCTAGCCTCACCAGCATACCTCAAATCTCCTGGGCCAAGCACATCCTGCCCTGCCTCAGCCTCCCAACTCCCAAGTAGCTGGGACTACAGGCATGTGCCACCATGCCCGGCTAATTTTTTCTATATATATTAGTTGGCCAATTAATTTCTTCCTATTTATAGGTCTCGCTCTTGCTCAGGCTGGTTTTGAACTCCTGATCTTGAGCAATCCACCTGCCTAGGCATCCCAGAGTGCTAGGATTATAGGCGTGAGCCACCGCGCCCGGCCTTCATCAGTGTTTTATAGTTTTCAGCATACTAATCTTGAACCTCTTTGATTAAATTTATTCCTAAGTATTTTATTCTTTTAGACACTTTCAGAAATGGGATTGTTTTTATTATTTTCTAGAACATATATATGCAATCCCATGTTATTGCACTGTTATTCACAATAGTGAAGACAATGGAAACAATGTAAGTGTCAGCCAGTGGATGAATGGATAAAGAAAATGTGGTATGTATACATAATGGAATATCATTCAGACATAAAAGAAGGAAATCTTGCCATTTGCAACAACATGGATGAATTGTGAGGGCATTATGCTAAGTGAAATAAGTCAGGCAATGACAAACACTGTGTCATTCCATCTATATGTAGAATCTTAAAAAGTCGGCCTCATGGAAGAAAAGAGTGGTGGTTGCCAGGGGGAGGGGTTTGGGGGGAAAAGAACAATGGTAGTCAAAGAGTAACAACTTTCAGTTACAAGATGAATAAATTCTGGAGATCTAATGTACAACAGTAGGACGTTGACCAAATCATAAGTTTAGAAAAGATACGTATACTTGATGATTGAATTTGTTCTATAGGATTAAGATACAGATAATAAAACTATTTCACCTACACACATAAATAGGGTTATAACCGGTCTGGGGCACGGTGGTCATGCTTTTCATCCTGGGACTCTGGGAGCCGGGCGGCGACTCGCTCATGATCATGAGTTCGAAGACCAGCCTGAGCAAAGCGAACCCGGTTCACAAACTCAAAAGCTATTAAGCCCAAACTAAAAGATGATACAAAAAGAGTATCTGGCATGGGCTATCGCCTGTAAGTCCCAGGCGTAGTACCTGCTCGGGAGGCTTCGAGGCAGTAAGTCGCTTTGAGCCCAAGGAGTGGGAGTTGCTGTGAGTTAGCTGACGCGCCATGGCATCACTCTAGCCTGGACAACAAACGGACTTCGTGCTCAAAAAAAAAAAAAAAAAAATGTTGGTAACTAGGTAAGGTGATGGTACGTTAACTAACTGATTGTGATTTGATTCACAACATATATGTATGTCAAATCACCATACTGTACACCTTAAATATATACAATTTTATTTGTCAATTGTACATTCATAAAGCTGGGTGGAGGGAAACAGAAAGACAGGTTAAAAAAAAACCAAAAAACCCACATTGTATAATTGTATCAGTAAATAATCCCTAAGCAGTCAGACAAAAGTTAGGAGAGAGGCTCATGTTCCCTCCATGTGTACACAAAAGGTGTCTCTGAGTATAGTCTGTTGCACATGAAAATGCCTGATAAATGCTCATTTTATGAATGAATGAATGTATGGACCAATTCTCTCATAAGTGAAATAGCTGACTGCGTAAAATTCTGTGGCACTCCCTTACACATAAATAACGAGCTTATTATCTATCTCTTGAATGATGGATGCCAATCCAACCACATGTCCATGGAGAATGTTCAGTTCATAAGTAGATCTTCATCATCTCACAAACTGACCTTTGAGGATAATCACAATGAATATCATTCCAGCCCCATTTTGAAGAGCGAATATTCATCATAACACAACGCTCCTTGGGATCATTGGGCTCACCCTTATGCCAGAATCTGAAGGGGAGAAAAAGGATGAGGGCATTTCTTTAAACGGTGCTTTGAAAAGGGTTAGAGACAGTAAGGGGGTGAGTGGCTGGGGATGAACTTCACAGAAGTCAAGGTCAGATATGTCCAAATCCACCCTCCCCACTCGTCATACAGTTCCTCCTCCGCCTGCATCTCCCGTGTTTCCCTTGAAAACTGTGCCCACGTCACTCAGGATTTTCCACCTTATTGCTTTAAATATCCTCACAGCAGATATTCCAGAGACTGTCTTGTATTTGCCCATCCTTATGTCCTGTTCCCAGGGGACTGTCAACCTTATATGATAAAAATATTGCACACTGGCCCCGCTTATCAATAGAATTTTTTCCCCTTTTTTAGTGCACTGTTTTTGGAGTCTTCTGAAGAACTGGTAAAAATCTCTGTATCTTCTACCTGTCCCTGGTATCTTGGAGAAGTCATTTAATATCCCTGATTCTCAGTTTTCCTACATAAAAGAGGAGTAGAGTAACATCACTGCATGTTTCACACAGTAGATACGAGGATCAAAGGTGGTCATCTACTAAAGTACTTGAGTTTTTAAATAATTACATAAAATGAGATATTACAAGACTATAAAAATTTAGCATTGTTGCTTTATGAGAAATATGCAATCTTAATAGTTGGTTATGATCTTAACATGAATTTGTATGATATTTAAAGACATAAATATAGTGGTTAAAAGCACAGTAAAATCCACCTGGACCATTGTTGACACTGTTGGTGACCTTAGCTTACAGCCTCCAAACTCAATTTCCTCATCTCTCTAGTGGGAAAAATAATAAGAGGTGCCTCATCAGATTCTTGTGATGACTAAAAGAGATAATAAAATTATTTAACCCAGTGCCCAGGAGTTAAGAGTGAGCTATTCTAGTTTTACAGCCGATAGCCAGAACACCCTAAACTCCCGGCATGACCCATGACTCCTTAACTACGTCTATACTCACGTGGCACTTTCGTTGTACGGCGTCTGATCCACCCATTGCCAACGTCTCCGACCCTCCGGGTCTGACAGCCCCACAAAATAAGCAGAATGTTCATTCAGATTCTGGGTGATGAAATCCTGAGGTAAGAAAAGAAAGGAGTCACAGCCCTTAGAGTCCTCAGCCTAAACTGGTCCTTTCTGACTTTAGAGGACTGAGGAGAGAGGGGAGGTTCCTAGGAGTGCGGGTCTCCCCGGCTGAGCAGGGCAGGGTCAAAGCCGTCACGTGTAAGCGTGATGGTCAGTAGCTATGGGAAGCGATTCCTATCCATGAGCATAATGAATTCTCATCTCAGACTGACTTCCCCTCTTTTTGTCACTAAAAGATGCCGTTCTTCAAAATTGTGCATGAGAAAATTTTGGTAGAGTTAGTCATTCTCCTTTCATAGCTTTAGAGATCCTTTAATTTCGCTCCTGATTGTTTACTGTGATTGGTAATGATTTAACTTTATTTCCCTATTCAATTTAATACCTCTTCTCTGTTAGTTAATAATGTATAAAACAATTACACATTAGAATAGCAACTGATAACTCAGGCTGAAACATTTTCATCCTTCTACTCTACCCCCATATGTTTCATATATATATATATATATATATATTTTTTTTTTTTTTTTTTGAGACAGAGTCTCACTCTGTTGCCTGGGCTAGAGTGCAGTGGCATCAGCCTAGCTCACAGCAACCTCAAACTCCTGGGCTCAAGTGATCCTCCTGCCTCAGCCTACTGGGTAGCTGGAACTACAGGCATGTGCCACCATCCACCATGCTCGGCTAATTTTTTTTTTTCTATTTTTAGTTGTTTGGCTAATTTCTTTCTATTTATAGTAGAGATGGGTCTCGCTCTTGCTCAGGCTGGTCTCGAACTCCTGAACTCAAGCAATCCTCCTACCTCGGCCTCCCAGAGTGCTAGGATTACAGGTGTGAGCCACAGTGCCTGGCCCCCATATATTATATTTTTAATGCCACAATTTCTTTTGGGAAGATTAGTTTTCTTGAAGCAAGAAGAAGATATAGAACATCAAGACTTAGGGGTCTTTCCTATCTATTTTATTAAAGCCCTCTGCCACAGACAAATATCCCAAGATAACAAAGACCTCCTTCTTAGCCAAGAGAGATATGCAAAAAGCACGTGGGGCTCACGACTCCACTGTCTATTAGAAAGTACCTGCTCGTCCTTGGTGCTGATCACCAGCAAGTGAGCCCCCATTCTAGAGCAGTCCTCCTCATTCTCATGCCAAGATTTTGCCTCGGTAGAAATGAAGTAGCATTTGGAACTAAATGACCTCCAGTTCTTGGGGCAGCAGCTCCAGACTTTCTCTGTATGGGAAAGAGGGGCAAATAAATAAAATGTAAGTAATCACTACAAAAAGTGTGCATTATTAAAATTAAGGACCAAAGGAGAGCACGTGCAAGCTGGGGCTCCCATCCCCACCCAGGTGTAACAAGCATGCCGCCCCTCAGGTGTCGACAAAGCCAAGTCTACTGCAGTCAGGCAGTAACGGGGCAGGACCCCTTTCTCCTACCGGAGTGGTATTGGGAAAAGCCAGTTCAAACATAATGTTTAAATAAGATCCAGACTCTAAGAACCTAATGCAAAAATGTGCAGCATTCAGTAGACAATAACTCATCATACCAAGAACCAGGAAGTTTGCAAATTTAATAAAAATCCTAATCAGTAGATGCCAACAACCAAGACAACACAAATGTTACAATTATCTGACAAAGATTTTAAAGTAGCCATGGTAAAAATGCTCCAACAAGAAGGTACAAGCATGCTTGAAATAAATGAAAAAATAAGAAGCTTCAGTAAATCAATAGAAGATGTAAAGAAAAACCAAGTGGAAATTTTACAATTGAAAACTACAGTAACCAAGATAACAGTCTCAGGGGATGGGCTCAACACCAGAATGACAGTGAATTGGAAGACAAAACAATAGAAATCGCCAACTGAACAACAAAAACACAATAGACAGAAAAAAGATAAATAGAGGCTCATATAGTAACCCTAAATGTATAAACACCAAACAGACCTGCAAACGTGTAAAGCAAAAACTAATACAATTGAAATGATAAATTTGACAGCTATTCATTATAGGTGGGCACATCAGTACCCTGCTCTCAACAACTGGTAGAACAGCTACACAGAAAATCAGCAAGAATATAGAAGAACTCAAAAACCTCATCAACCACCAGGATCTAATCAACATTGATAGAACATTCTACCCAACAACGTAATACCCACTCTTTTCAAGTGCCTGTGGAACATATGTCAAGATAAAACATATCCTGGGACATAAAACAAATCTCCACAAACTTTAAATCATTGAAATCACATAGAAAGTGTTCTCCAACCACAATGGACGCAAATGAGAAATTAACAAAAGAAAGAAAATAGCACACTTCTAAGTAATCCGTAGGTCAAAGAAGCATTCTCAGGAGAAATTTTTAAAAAATACGTTAACTGAATGAAAATGAAAATACAAATTATCAAAATTGCTATTCTTCAATGAAAGAACTCAGGCTCCTCAAATAAATGTCTGACTCTAGGATAGGGACATGAGTCCCAAGCATTTTGTAGTCCCAGAACGTAAGGAAGTAGGAAAAACAAAAACAAAAACATTGACGGTGATATGTCAAAGGATCACAGGATAGCCTGGCATGCTGGCTCATGGCTGCCGTAATCCCAGCAATTTGGAAGGCCAAGGCAGGAGGACCCCTTAAGGCCAGGAGTTCAAGACCAGCCTGGGCTATGTAGCAAGACCCTGTCTCTACAAAAAAATTTAGACTACAGGCATTGAGATGGGCCCCTGTAGTCACAACTACTCATAAGGCTGAAGCAAAGGGATCACTTGAGCCCGGGAGTTGGAGGTTGCAGTGAGCTGTGATCACACCACTGCACCCCAGTTGGGGGGACAGAGTGAGACTTTCTTTAAGAAAAACAAAGGGCCATGGGTGCCAAGTGAAAGAACAGCTGGAACCACAAAATAAATAAAGTGGTATTGGATTATAATCTGAAATTTTAAATAAGTAACCATGAGTAAATGCAGATATAAATAAATGATTGGATAAGTTAATAAATGGGATAGAAGAGAAAGCTTTCAACATGCACAAGAATTTCAAATAAATTATGTAGATACCAGTGATGGGTAATTTTATGTGTCTACTTGTCTGGGCCACAGTGCCCAGATATTTGGTCAAACATTCTAGATGTTTCTGTGAAGATTTTTAAAAAATGAGATTTACATGTAAATTGTTGGACTTTGAGTAAAGGAAATTGCACTCTGTAATGTAAGTGGGCCTTATCTAATCAGTTGAAGATCTGAACAGAACAAAAGGATGTCCCCCCTGAGCAAGAGGAAGTTCTCTAGCAGGCTGCCTTTGGACTTCAGCTGCAACACTGGCTCTTCCTGGTTCTGCAGCAGACTGACTGTCTTTGACTCAAACCACAATTCGTTCCTGAGTCTACAGCCTGCTGGCTGCCCCTTCAAACTTTGAACTTCTCAAGCCTCTGCAACTGCACGAATCAATTCCTTAAGAATAAATGTCATTCTGTACATACTTCCTATTGGTTCTGTTTCTCTGGAAAACCCTAACACAATACTCCACCCTATTGGATGGGGAGCATAACTCCTCTATCCTTAAGTGTGGGCTGTGTAGAGAGCACAGTATGGAAAGGAGAAAAAAGAGTAACTTTGGAGCAAAGAAACCTGACAAACACTACCGTAGCCAGGTAATCAAGGTCAACGTCAATAGTCAAAAATCATTCTGATAGTATATACCCTCGATATGATGTGATGAAGGTAGCATTTTACATCTGTGATCTTCCTCACAAAAACCAGTAACCCCATTTTAATTATTAGAAAAACATTAGACAAATTCTAGTAGGGAGACATCCTATAATATACCTGACCAGTATCTCTCAAAACTGTCAAGGGCATCAAAAACAAGGAAAGTCTGAGAAACTGTCACAGCCAAGAGGAGCCCAAAGAGACATGAAACTCATGTAATGTGGAACCCTGGGTGGGATCCTGTTAAAGAAAAGGAACATTAGGTGAACACTAAGGAAATCTCAACAAATTGTGAACTCTAATTAATGATAATATATCAATATTGGCTCATTAGTGGTAACAATGTACCATATTTATATAAGATATTAATAATAGAAGATACTATGTATGCCAAGGAGGGGTAAAATGCATTATCTGTTCAATTATCTTTGCATTATCTGTTCAATTTTTTTGTAAATATAAAACTTTCTAAATTAACTACTAATTTTGAAAATTTAAATAATTCACTTCCATAGTAAAATCATCATCATCATATCATTTTCATCAAATGGTTTTAACTGATAGGTCAATAAAAGAGCAAGTATGCACAGAAAGTTCCAAAAGAAGCAAAGACTGAAAATCTAAAAGCAAGATAGGTAACCTTTTTCACAGTTAAGTCTATTTCCTTACATAGATAAAAATATACATATAAGAATTTTGTGCGTCATATGTATCATTTAAAAAATGAATTTCATGTCCTATATATTTGCACATTTATAGCTTAAGATGATCATGAGAGTCAACTTCTTAGTATGATCTACCTGGGAATCTTATCAGAAATATTGCTTTGAGATCCTTACATAGTTAGTCAGCAACTGAACTCTAGGCACATTCATTTTTACCTGCCATGGTCAAATTGTTTTTCACACACTCCAATGTTGTATGAATTGGCTCTTCTGTAGTAGTTTTTTCTTCAAGAACCCGAGAACATTTTTGAAAGAAAACTAGAAAAGAGAATAAAGACATTCATTTTCCTGGTTGCACTATGACTTTGACTTTATTGTTACTTTCTTACATCCTTTATAGAAACAAATCTACAAACGCCCAATTACTTGAGTAGATGGATCCTGACTGGAAAAGACTTCCTGTTTTGAAACTGTAGATCTCAAGGTATAGCTGAAAGATCAGCAGTGGGAAGGGCACACGACAGTTCCATCACAATGGGTCTACAGGGACTTCTCCACATGCCCCTTCAATACTCAACGTGGGATACTTGCAGAGGCTGAACCGTGGGGGCGGGGAGGAGTGCAGGGCAGATAGACACTTGTGTTCAAGGATGTGCACAGCCTGGGGCTTTGCGGGGTGGGGTGGAGAAGAATTAGCTAATTCTGAAAAGTTCTGGGTTATCCTGGAGAATAGAGAATTTAAAAAAGAACCCAACATGCAAAACGCTGTTCAAGGGAACATAATTATCTCTCTCTTCTTTCTTTTATTCTCTCCATTCCAGCTGGCTCCTACTCCTCAGCGTACCAACACTCTCGTGTCTCTCCCAATCTAACACTAACCCACCTCTTACTCTAAAAACTGAATTTTCTCTTTCCTCCTTACCTTTCATTTGCTCCTTCACCCATCACATTCTGACTTTGCTTCCACTGCTTCACTACTACCATCCTTGAAATGGATTATCAGTGACATGCCTGGCCCATTATTAGCCATCTTCCTATTTGACCTCCTCAAATACGTGACCCCAGTTCCCTTCCCCCTTAGTTCTTAGGACACTACTCTGCTGTTTTCGCCTTTCTTTTCTTGCTACTGCTTCTTATACTCCTTTATAACCTCCTCTCTTCCACCCACTTGTTTTACAATGTGACATTTCCCAGAGTTCCATCCTTATCCCTCCTTCTCATGCGAAGTTCTCTGAGTGCTGTCGTGCATCCCCACGGCATCGCCTGCTGCGTCCATGTGAATGGCGTCCAAAGCTCAGACCTCTCTCCTGAAGTCCAGACAAATGGGTCTCCCACTAGACATGTCCATCTGAGGGTCCCACACTTACATAAAACTCAACATGCCCAAAACTTAAATCACCATCTTCCAACCCAAACCTGCTACTCATTCTATACTGTCTACCTCTTTTAAAAACTTCATGATTTCTGAACTTACCACGTCAGACTATTGGAACCACATTTTACTTCTCTGGGTCCCTTATTCCCCAGGTCTAAATGTTCACCAGTCTTCTACCTCCTTTATCATTCTAAGCTACCTCCTTTCTTCACTAACTCTAGCCGTGGATCAGGCTCTCACTGTTTCTCAATTGGATTTATGAATTAGCTTTCTAACTTCTCTCTCTGCCTCCAATTTTTTCCTCATATATCCATTCTCCACACCTCTGTACAAAGCATATTTTAATAAGTCAAATTTGATTTTACCAATTCTCTGCTTAAAATTCTAAAAAGTCTCTTCATGACTGTAACACATTGCAAAAATGGCCAGAATTTTTAACCTTCCCTGTATTGTGATTGTGATGTGATTTTGCAGTGTGACTTTGCAGCTTCTTTAATCAAGAAATGGGGTCTGAAGACAAAAGAAGAGAAAAAGGAAAAAAAAAAACAAAAGAAAAAAAGAAATGGGGTCTGGCCAGGCACAGTGGCTCACGCCTGTAATCCCAGCACGTTGGGAGGCTGAGGCGGGAGGATTGCTTGAGCCCAGGAGTTTGAGGTTGCATTGACTGCACTCCAGCCTGGGTGACACAGTAGGACCCTGTCTCAAAACAATAAAAATAGGCCGGGCGCGGTGACTCACGCCTGTAATCCTAGCACTCTGGGAGGCGGAGGCTCAAGGTCAGGCGTTGGAAACAAGCAAGAGCGAGACCCCATCTCTACTAACAATAGAAAGAAATTAATTGGTTGCTGTGAGCTAGGGCCCAGGCGTCCTCAAACTATGGCCTGTGGGCCACATGCAGGTGTTTTTACCTGTTAGATTTTTTATTTCAAAATAAGATGCACATGAGATATGTTGTAGTGTGCATAGAAGTTGGTGGTCATGTAGTTTTTGTTTTTAACGTATGAGTCTGCCCATTCAACGGTCTGTAGACGACATGAATGCGCCCTGTTTAAATAGTTGGGGGACCTTGATGCTAGGCTGAGCGCACGGCATCCGAGCCTGGGCAACGGAGTGAGACTCTGAAAAAAAAAACAGCAATAAAAAATAAAAAATAAAAATAATTAAACAGACGGGAACGGTGGGTCATGCCTGTAATCCTTAGCACTTCTCGTGGAGCCGGGCAGGCGGATGCTCAGGTCAGGGTTGCGAACAGCCTGTGCAAGTAGCGAGACGCCCGAATCTTACGATATAAAGTAAAGATTAATTGGCAACTAATTATGTATGTAGAAAATTAGTTGGGCAGTGGGTGGGATGCCGCATGCCCTGTCCGTCCCCCAGTACTTGGGGGCTTTGAGCAGCAAGGTATCCTGCAGTCAGGAAGTTTATGTGGCTGTGAGCTAGGCTGATTGCATGGGCCAGCTCATGTCCTGGGCAGCTAAGTGGATTTGTCTCATCAATGCCAGTCAGATCCAATAATAAATAATAGTAATGTTATAAGTGAAAGATAAAAGAAATGGGGTCTGTTTCTCCACCACTGGAATTGGGCTGCCTTTAAGACTTCCTTTGGCCAACAGAATGTACGGAGGCAATCTGTGCTAGTCCCAGGTGGAGACTTCAAGAGGCCGTGCTTACTTTGCTGTGAGCCTTAGAAGTCTGCAAGTTGCCCTGTGAACAAACTCAGGCTAGTCTAATGAATGATGAGAGAAACGTGGCCACATTGCTCCTGTCGTTCCAGCTGACGTCCCCTTCCTTCCTCAGAGGGCGGGTTGCCCGTGAGTGGTACCCGCCTCACACGCCTGAGTGAGGTGAGCCAGGACCGGAGGGTCCCCCAGCTGGCACCAGTCCAAAGTGCCCGGCTGCAGAATTAGGAGCTAAATAAACAGTTGCTGTTTTAATCCACTAAGTTTTAGATTGATTTAATAAGCAGAAAAAGACAATTGATAAAATAACCTTTAGGGGAAAAAATCCAAATTTTTTATAATGGTACACAGCTGTCTTCGTGATCCGAGTTCTGTTCATTTCTCTCGCCTACAACTTCACTTCTTAGTTTTCTCAGCACCATATGTTCCAGTCATGTATACTTACAGTTCCCCAAATTCTGTGCCCTCTCATGTCTCTATGTCATTCTTGGGAGACACAGCTCTAAATGTCACCTCCTCTGGGAAGCCCATCCCAGCTTCCTGTGCGTACACCTTACCTGCACAACAGGTACCATACATTGTTGTAACCACTGCTTCATTTGACCGTTCTCTAAATGTCTTGAGACCAGGGGCTGCAGCTCCGTCCAGACTCTCTGTCTAGACAAGGCCTGACATATAGCACATGTCTGTTGCTACTTACTGAATGAGCAAATGAATGAATAGAATACCCAAATATATACTAGTTTTATACTTTTTAAAATTTTAATAAATTCTAAAAGCCAAAGATATGCAGCAATCCACCTTGGCTTTTAGATCTCACACAGTCTTGGGCAGGACAGAAATAATTAAGACTGAAATTCAGTGGAGAACTCATCTCAAAATATTTCTTCCCATCTTCTTCTTGGTCACCTGTGCATCCCAAAATATAAGTCTGCGCCCAAGTAGGACTAGCCTTATAAATGCTGCTAGGGAAATATAGATTTGTCCTCACCTATACAGTGTCTGGTGTAGAGATCCCGGAGGTTTCACTCTACAACACGCGCACACACACACACACACACACACACACACACACACACACACACACACACACACACACACACACTCTCTTCAATTTCCCTAAGAAGAATGGACTCCATTCTTTTTACAGGAAAGTAACTAAATCCAAATAAAGAGCAAAATTCCCAGTGGAGTTCCATGAATTATGTCTCCCTAGAGAAAATTTTATTTTAGATTTCTGAATAAACTCATTTTTAAATGTCAGTTTCTAACAGAGACCTTCTCCTTGTGTACGGCAGACACTGCTTGTTGATTAGGTTGGCATACTTACTGATAAAAGCAGTACAGAATGAGATTTTCAATAGCAGGAAAAGTATCAGCAATGAGGCCAAAAGCAGTTTGGAAAAACCGGGGTTACTTTTGGGAGGGGTGGTCCTTTCCTTGGGAGCTGAAAGAGAAACCAAATGAGTTTTCTTTAATCAACAATAAATTCAGCACTCTGGGAGGCCGAGGCGGGAGGATCACTCAAGGTCAGGAGTTCAAAAATAGCCTGAGCAAGAGTGAGACCCCGTCTCTACTCTATATAGAAAGAAATTAATTGGCCAACTAATATATATAGAAAAAATTAGCCGGGCATGGTGGCGCATGCCTGTAGTCCCAGCTACTTAGGAGGCTGAGGCAGAAGGATCACCTGAGCCCAGGAGTGTGAGGTTGCTGTGAGCTAGGGCTGACACCATGGCACTCTAGCCTGGGCAACAAAGTGAGACTCTGTCTCAAAAAAAACCCAAAAACAATAAGTTCTGTCCTTACTTCCTCTCCTCCTCTTCTCCCTTTTCTTGGATGACCCACAATGACTAATGCTATGACACTTGAAATAATATGAGAATAGGAATACAAAGGAAATTATAATGTTCATTGTAGAAACTTTGGAAAATATATATAAGCTACAAATGTCCTTCGATGTTCTAGGTTGAACCATTTTATTAATATTTATGGTTATACCCACCCGAGCAATTTAAAAAGGTGTTGATATTATGTGACATTTTCCCATGATTGACACATAAATACTGGTTTCTGACCTACTACTTTCTTTTACACTATATCATGAATATTTTTCACACCACATTTTCTTCTTCAACACTTTTTATCATGGTTGAATAGTATTTCATCATATATTTAAATAATCTTTCAGGCCAGGCGTGGGCTCACACGTTGTATCCGAGCAACTCGGAGACGGAGGCTAGTGAGGATGCTCGAAGGTCAGGAGTTCAGATCCAGCCTGAAGTAAGAGTGAGAATCCATCTCTACTATTAGAATAGAAGAAATTTAGCCAAACAACGTAAAAATGAAAAAAAATTAGCCGGCATGGTGGCGTGTGCCTGTAGTGCTGAGCTACTCGGAGTGGAGGCAGAAAGATTATGCTTAAACCCAATGAGTTGAGGTTGCTGTGAGCTAGCTGACACACGGCACTCCTAGCCTGGGGCAATCACAGTGAACTCTGTCTCAAAATTAAAGTAGAACAATAATTCTTCCCAGATGTGTTTTTTCTTCTTTTTGAGACATAGTCCTCACTCTCTGCCCAGGCTAGAGTGCTCGTGGCATCGCTACTAGCTCACAGCAACCTCAAACTCCTGGGCTCAAGTGACCTTCCCTGCCTCAAGCTCCCGAGTACTGGGACTATAGGCAATGCACCAGCATGCCGGTAATTTTCATTTTTTCTATATATTTTTAGTTGGCCAATTAATTTCTTTCTATTTTTCGTAGAGACGGGTCTCACTCTTGCTCAGGCTGGTCTCAAACTCCTGAGTTCAAATGATCCTCCCGCCTCGGCCTCCCAGAATGCTAGGATTACAGGTGTGAGACACCATGCCCAGCCAAGAGTGTTTCTAACTTTACTTTTAAAAATGCTATAGCAGATAAATCTTTATAATCATCCCTCATCACATCTTCAGGATGAGGTCAGCCTTTTTAGTCACCATCTCATAATTAGGAATTCTTTTTTTTTTTTTTTTTTGAGACAGAGTCTCACTGTGTGGCCTGACTAGAGTGCCGTGGCGTCAGCCTAGCTCACAGCAACCTCAAACTCCTGTGCTTAAGCAATCCTCCTGCCTCAGCCTCCTGAGTAGCTGGGACTACAGGCATGCACCACCATGCCCAGCTAATTTTTTCTATATATATGTTTAGTTGGCCAATTAATTTCTTTCTATTTTTTAGTAGAGACGGGGTCTCGCTCTTGCTCAGGCTGGTTTCGAACTCCTGACTTTGAGCAATCTGCCCACCTTGGCCTCCCAGAGTGCTAGGATTACGGGTGTGAGACACCAGGCCTGGCCAGGAATTCTTAACGTTATGCTATATTGTCAAGTATTGGGGGGGCTCTCAGTACTAAATAATAAGATTTCATTTTTAGAAAAATACATATACATATTTATGTACATTCACATGTGTAAGGATATATACTAAAATGCAAATTATGTTTTTTTTTTAGATGGTAAAAGTATGATTGAAATCTCTGCGTACCCTCTGGTTAATTTTTTCTATAACAATCATCATTACTTACATAATAAAGAAATTATAAAAAGATTTTAAGAAGAAAGAAACAATTTTCATAAGCGCTCTCCAAACTTCCACAGGGGCGTTCTAGAAAGCGGGAGCAGTCCTGACTCCCGCCCTCCTGTAGCGTCTTGTACTCCGGATGCATGTTTTTCTCTCTTCTCTGTCTGAGATCTCACACAGCCATCCTGACTGCCTTTTATCTACTCCCAAACTTATTTCAGTCTGTCTCAGAGATGCAACATGCAATAGATTTCTTGATTCATGAAAAATGTTCCCTGGATAGTCAAAGAACTTTGTCTAATACGTTTTCTAGTCTTCATGGCAAGCCTTTTGTTCCACGTCCAGACTAACAAATCATGCTCTCCTTTACTCTCCACCCACACGTCTTCCCCCTAATGAACCGAAACAACAAATTCACAAATGCATGAGTACCCCAGCATCGCTGATCGTGCGTCGAAGCTGTATCCATCTGCTCAACCCAGACGTAACTCAGCCTCAGAAAAAGCACAAGACCACGACTTTCTCAGCACAGAACATTCACTTAGCTCAGAGCATAGCTGAGTCTCACACCTAAGTTTCGTACAGTCAGCAGAGTTAGAGCTAAAGACAGCCACCATAGAGAACCTTACAACCCCCTAATGCTTCACCTACAGGCACTCAGTCTTCTGGCTCTTGGTCTTCAGGCGGATGCCGGCCAGAGAACCAGCAACTGACTGCCACCTATGCCTGTTTAACAGAACCCTCTCGGCATCCTTCCTCTCATCCATAATTCTTACCACCGAAAATGTGTTACCTGCAGAGAGCGAGTTGGTGGCCTGAGACTTGGATCCATTTCTTGAACCTTTACTTGAGCAGAAGTGCTTGCCGAAGCCATATCAGAAGAGAGCCTTCGCTTTCATCGGAAATCTGTGTCAGTCGCTTCCTTAAACAAGCTTATAGAATGAGAACAAACCGTGATGATAAATGACTCTCCCTTGGGTGGAGAGGAGGCAGCCAATATGTAAAGCCCAGGAAGGGACCTCGTGAGGAACAGAACGCAGCGTGGGCCCCTCGTCCGCAGGGCCGTGCTCAGCATCAGCGCGGTGGGAATCACAGTGGAAACAGTGCGCTCGCACCGCAACGCAAGCGGGGACTCCAGCACGAGGAAGAGAAGTAGGAAGAAAGGAAAAGGAGAAACCAAGCAAACCAGAGAAGTCGTTCCTGAGAAACTGTGTTCACGAATTTCACCAGAAAAAGTAAAATTCGCTTCCTTCCACCTGCGACAGAATTACCCACAGACCAACAACCTGAGCAGGGCGCTTGTGTAGCACTGCATTCACGCTGGTCATGTTGGGATCAGGCAATCTTGGTGCCGATGAGGTCTAAGAGGAGCAGTTGACCAGAGGTATAGGAGACTCGGCATGTGACCTCGGCACGCTGCACAGAAGGTTTGGCTTCTTCTCAGTTCGAAAAGAGAGACGTCCTCTGCTCAGGCTTGTTTCCGCATCCTTTGTTTTATTTGTAGTGATATTCAGGAGTCTCAACGTCCGTGCCCGAGCGTCAGAGAGCACGCGTCACAGCCTAGCTCAGCAGCAAGACCGCGAAACTACTGGGCTCAAGCGATCCTCTGCCTCTAGGAGCCGTCCCGAGTAGCGTGAGATACTACAGGCATGCGCCGACTAGGTGAGCGCCGCAGGAAGAAGTTGTAATGACAGGTAGAGTTTTTAGTGTCGCGGCTAAGGAATATGAAGATCCTACTGCAAATTTTAGTAGAGATGACTCTCGAGGCGGCATCAGCGTGGAGTGAGAGTGCTGAGACCGTCTCAGCGAGCGCTATCCGAGCCGTCGCCCTGGGCGCAAGAGAGTTGCCTAGGAGAGGGGGGAATTAGAGACAGCGTGACGCCTAAGCAGGCTCCACCCAGCGCATCCCTCATCCTTTGTAGCGTAACCCCACAGGAGTCTCCCTCCTTGGCGCGGGGGGAAGGAAGAGCGAGAGAGGGAGAAAGAACGAAAGGAGAGAGAAAGGCGGGGAGGGAAGGAAGAGGCGGAGGGACAGGAAAAGAAGGAGGAAGGAGGAGGAAGGGAGGGTGAACAGTGTTAGAGGGAGGGAGGACAGGAAGAGAAGGAGATTGAGAGGGGGGGGAAATAGAGAAGGGGGGGGAAGGAAGGGAGGAAGGTGGAGGAGGGGGAGAGAAGGGGGGAAGGCGGGAGGGGAGGAGGGAGAGGGTAAGAAGGACGGCAGGAGAGGGGGGAGGAGGGGGGGGGAGAAAAGGGAGGGAGGGGAAGAGGGTGAGGAGGAGGGGGAGTAGGGGAAGGGAAGGGGGCTGGAGGACCTTCACAGAGTTACGAAGTATGATGCTGTGGTGGCCCTGAGCTGACGGGGCAGGAGAGGTGGGTAGCGCCGAGGTGAGAGGCTGGGTGAGGGCAAGAGAGATGCTGAGGGACGGGCGCGAGGGAGGAACGGAAAGGGGGGGGGACGAGGGGAAGGGGGAGAAGGGAGGGAGGGGCGTGTGTACTTTGCTCGACTTCTCGCTAGCCTGTCAGCCTCACAGCCACTCGAGCAAGAAGGACCAGTACGATACGACTTGTTTAACAGTTAGGGTGGGGATTTAAAGGGTCAGGTTATTGAAGGATAAACTTGATGAACAACAGCTGAAATAGATGGATTTTCCAAAAATCTTGCATGGAATTGACCTCAGCTCTCCCCCAAACGATCCTCCGTCTTTTTAGAACCTTGCTCCCACCTACGGCGGCCGGTTCTTCGTTGCACCACACAGTCTCTCTCTCTCTCTCTCTCTCACACACCACACATACAACACACACACACACACACAACGACACAACACAGCAGTCCCCTGGCCACCACTAGACTCCCCTTAGCTCCAAACACCCCACACAACGCCCCCGATGTGAGAGTCCGCCTCACCTCGTAAGCTCGACTCCCCCCTGGCTTACCCAGCCATGGACAAGGCCCCGTATCGCTCAGACTCGAAACCCACAGGCCCACCCTCTGCATAGACACTTTCTGTGTCCTGCTTGGGCCCTGACACCCCATGTCAGATCCTCCACCCCCCAGCGAGGATGCCCACCTTACCCTACTTAGGCTCTGAGTTCCCTCACTGGGCTACCCGCCCCACCCCCACCATGGAGACGCTCCTTATCCTGCTTGGTGTCTGAAACCCACACCAGGTCTACCCTCTGCAAGGATGCTCTCCCCTCCCTGCTGGAGCTCCGACTCCCTGCACCCGGCCACCCCGCCACATAGATGCCCTCTGTACCTCGCAGGCCCTGGCATTCCACACCAGGCTGTGCCTATTGTGGACGCCCTCCACAGCACACACAGGCTCTGGTTCTCCATACGGAACACTGTCCCACCCCCACAGGGATGTTCCCTTACTCCGCTTGGGCTCCATCACCACTGTCAGGCCAACCCCCTGCATAGTCCCTCTTCTCATCCTGCCCGAGCTCTGACACCCTGTGCCAGACCACTGCTGCTGCCCCACCTCACCCTGCCACTGACAACTACCTTGCTCGGTCCCATCCTGCTTTACGTAGGATTGAATTACACAGTAAGGAAAGGGAAAGAGCTGTGACAAAGGATAAGGGAATTACAGGTTCTCCACAATCAATTACTGGACCTTACAAGCACTTGCATGTGGACAGGTGTGCATGCATGCCCACTCTTCCCAAAAATGGTCATTGAATCTCAGAGGCTTTATAATCTAAGCTCATAATGACAAAGCAAATATATTCATAAAGTTCTCTCTCTCTCCTTGGGATAAGTTACATTATAACTGGATTATATGGTATCACAAACAACCCCAAAATCCAAGTGGCTTATAAGAGCAAGCATTTATTTCTCACTCATGTTACAGTGAGCTTGAGGTCTGCTTCGGGTTGACTCTGACTCTGCTTGGCTCCTCTCCAAGTGTTTTCTCATTCTGGGAGCCAGGACCATAGAGTAGCTCCTTTAAGCTGAACCACGCAGTAGCATCCTCTACCCGGATGGGTGCGTATTACATTCTCTTGATTCTAGTGGCCAATGCAAGTCACCTGGACAAACCTGTGAATGGGACAGGAAAATGTACTCTATTTATGGAAAGATAGGTCAAGGGAATCAAAGTTTAATCTTTCACAGAGAAGAGCATAAACATTTGGAAACAATAATACAGTCTACCCCCAACCCCTTTAACTTACTTAGCCAAGGGATCTCTTGGCAGTGATCTCCAAAATGGGGCACAAGTACCCTAAGTGGTATAAAGAGGATCCACTAGTCATTTAAAAGAGGTTCCAAAGATATACAATATTAGACTATCTATTTATATATATTTAAAATTTTAAGTAAAATAAGCTTTACTAATGTCATATGGATTTGATATTGGATACATGTTGTGTGTGGCAGGGTACCTGTTGTGAGGGAGGAGTGAAAATTCCACACCTCTGAGAAGTTGATGGTGCACCTTCACTTGTTCGTTTATTCTCCACATGTTGCATCATGTTGCAGTTTACCTGGCAATAAAGAATCTGCCTGGCCTTTGTCCCCAGTCCCTAGGAGGTAGCCTGTAAATCCTTGGAATTTTCCAAGTAATTGAAGTGTCGTTGTTAGGCATGGTGGGCCCTTATACCTTATGCTAATGAGGCCTCTCGTGGTGGGCCCCTGGATACTTTATACTAACAAGATGATTTAGAATAGGGGCTGGCCATGCCAGGTAGATGAGCCATGTGATTGGAGTGTTGGGGCTTCCACCATGAGCTATCAGCCCAGCCAGGGAAGGGATACCGGAGATTGAGTTCAACATTGTGGCCAGTGATTCAATCAATGATGCCTACATAATGAACCCTAATAAAAACTCTGGACACTGAAGCTCAGGTGAGTTTCCCTGGCTGGCAATACTCTGTGTATTGTCACACAACCAAGTGCTGGGAAAATGACACATCCATGGGGTCAATGAATATTTCACATTTGGGATCCTCCCACACCTCACCCCATGAGTCGCTCCCTTTGGCTGGTTCTGATTTTTATCCTTTTGGTATTAGAGAAAAACAACTGCAGTCATAAGTATGGCTCTATTCTGAGTTCAATGAGTCATTCTAGCAAGTTATAAAATCCAAGAGGGTTGTGGGAACCCTCAAATTCGTAGTCAGTTGACCAGAAGTGAGGGTAGC